TATTTTAATAGGTAAAAATAATTGTGTTTGAGAATATAGTTGAATTTTTTTTTGTACTTAAATGTGATTTGTAAAAGAAAAAATAAAATGATTATACGTTTAATATAATATTTTATCTTATTAATTATTTTAATTTACTTTATCTTTTAATATTATTTTAACTCAAAAAATCAAAAAAGCCTATTACCAAAAAAACCAATAGAATATAGTGCATTATGTGCACTTTTCTTGAAATTTTGTTTGTGTTTGAAGTTTAATAGGTTATGAGAGTTGACCTTTTTCAAGGTTGGATAAAAGTCCCTCATCATTTCTTTGCCGGCCAAGCTTCTTTATTTCAAATCATCCCTACCAAATTCAAAACTAACATAGAAGTGTGGGGAAATTTTTATAATGAGATGTATATGGTATTTTTTAGTTTTAATATTTGTGATATTTAATTATGATTTATTATAATATTAATTATGATTTGATTATAATTCATGATATTAGTTATTGTTTATTATGATTATTGTTTTAATTATAATTTAACAAGTTTTTTTTTAGTTATAACTTATGTGATATTTATTTATAATTTTTTTTTTCTTACTTATGATTGAAAATGTTTTAATTATGATATTTGTGATAATCGACGCGACAAATATCACAATTTACATATGATACATACTATTTTAAGGGTGTACATTAGTGTGATCCAAGTTTGAAAGCGTCTCTAAATTAAATTATTTTTCTTATCTAAGTTAGGACCTCAGAATTCATGTTTAGATCAAATGGGCTTTTTTTTTTCTTACTTATGATTGAAAATATTTTAATTACGATATTTGTGATAATTAGCGCGACAAATGTCACAATTTACATATGATATACATACTATTTTAAGGGTGTACATTAGTGTGATCCAAGTTTGAAAGCCTCTCTAAATTAAATTATTTTTCTTATCTAAGTTAGGACCTCAGAATTCATGTTTAGATCAAATGGGCAAACCATGCACAATGTCAAAGGTCGTTAAGAAAATTGAAATTTCGTTTATTGGAGAGGAGGGAAATTCAAGTGGGGTTTGGTGAAATCAAGAAATAAATGCATACAAAATTTCCACACTGCCTTAAATTATTAGATACTCTTATAATAATATTATATGATATTATTTATATAACATATTTAATTAATAAAAAATCATAATATATATTATGTTGATCATTATTTATCTTTTAACTTCTTAATAAAAATAAGATAGCATGGCCTACTTGTAAAATTTTTTACTACATAATTAGTTTAGAATATTACAAAGACAATATTATGTGGTGTTTCAGAATTATTGAATAATTATATCAACTAACAAGTTACATTTGCATATCAATGCAAGGTTTTTTTAATATATTTTTTGAGTCAATTAAGGGGAATAAGGGAGGAGAAGTTTTTTTATTTAGGGGTTGCTTAACATGACTTTTTAGCACCAAAAAAAGAAGAAGCTAAGACTTATTTTTTTTAAAATGCCATAAAATGCAAAACCAAAAGTCACTAAATAAACAAATTATACACACTAGCCATTTATGTTTTTTCAATATAATTAAAACATCCATTTCCAAACAATTTAACTTTTTTCACCTCATTAAAAAAATTAAAAAATCACTAAAAATTGTCAATTCAAAAATAAGGCCTTAAAATCAATTGAGAGGAATAGGAAAAGTGAAGTTGCACTCACAATTGTAAGCTCAAACTCATGCATCACCTCTCGGTAGGAGTGTAAATTTGGCCTGACCCAACCTCAGGCCTATTGAGCTTTTCCCAAAAATTGGATTAGGCAGGCCCGATTCCTAAAAATCTAGGCCCAAGCCCAAACTCAGGAGTAACTTGGTTCAAGCTCGGACTAATAGTTTATTTATTTATTTTTTACCAAAATAACTTGAAAATGATGTTGGGTGTCGGATGGGCCGGGGTGGACTAGGTCGGGCCAGAAAAAGCATGGCCTAGGCCCTAGCCTGGGAGTTTGGGCTAGGTCGAGCCTCGGACCTAGGTAGGCCTAGTCTACCCGCACCTCGGGTAGGCTTTGGGCCGACGGACCATTTTTACACCCTACATTTGAGTGAAGAATATTTGCATTCATCAAGCCAACTCGTTAGAGGTCGTTTGGGACCGCTAAAAAAAAATACTAAGGTAGTGTTTGTTTTAATTTTTAAATTAACTTTTGAATTAAAAAATCAAAAAATGTGTTTGGTTTATCATTTTTTTAAACTATTTTTTCTCTATCCTCTCTCTCTCTCACTCTCTCTCTTATTTTTTTATTTTTATACAGTAATTAATTACTTTTTCTTTAATTTCTCCTCTCTCATTCTTTCACATTGTACACATCATCAATCAATATTTTTCTCACCCATCTATTCAACTACCACAAAAAAAAAAAAAAAAAACCTACAAATCATTCCAAAATTGTTTTCAAAGTTTATAACCAAATAAATTTTCAATTTTCAAAAACTTTTTTTAAATATTTATCTTTCAAAATATAATTCAAAACTTAAAACTCATTTTAAAAACTAAACCAAATAGAACCTAAGTTGGCTTTTAGTCACTTTTTTTGGTTTGTAGCAAAAGCCAAAAGTTGACTTTTTTTGTCTTTTTTTCATTTGGGAAGTTGGTTTTTAGCCAACGGTAAAATTACAATTTTACCGTCATGGGTCAAAATGTGTTACATAGGTGAAATTGTAAATATTTTAAATAAATTGGGGTAGTTTGGTAATTTTATTATGATTTGACATCATAAATAAATATTAATCAAAAAAAGTTAAAAGTCATTTTTTACCAACTTCCCAAATCATTTGTCTAAAAAAGTCAAAAGCTTGATTAAAAGCAAAAAAATCACTTTTTACCATCTTCCCAAAATAAGCCTTAATTTAAAAAGTCACTAAAATCAGTTTAAAAAAAGTCAAATATCACATTAAATTTTTTTAAAAAAAACAATTTTTTAATTACTTTTCAAATACATTAACTTTTTTAAACACTTAAAAAAGTCACAAACATGAAAGAAAACAAACCAACCAGCTAACCAACAAACAAACCCCAAACGCAAACCAGTTTGGTGAACTTTTCGAGGTTACAGTTGTATAATTAACTTTATCAAAAGGTTATTCTCACAAAAACTTGAGTGAATTGAGCTTCATCAAATCTTAAATAAAGCACCTCCACACTAACGAATACATGCCCAAAAAAAAAAAAGTGACTAGGACTTGATCAAGTCAAGCCAATTTACAATTAATGTTTTTTTAATAACATGTGATTCATGTACCCTTCTCTAATTTTTTTGAATCATTTTGAATTCAATAAGCATCATTGGTTAAACATTTTTCTTGGTTTTAATTTGACTTGGGCTCTGCTACAATTTTATGAGACTGAAAATTGAAACAAAAATTAAATGATCTTAAAACCAAATAATATCAGCATTGCTCAATGTTATAATACTGGTAATATTACACGCACTAATCGGTATAATAATTAGTGTATCAATATATGTGTGTGAGTCAATTTTTGACCACACTGCTAAATTGGTATTCAGCTGGAGAGTACCAGTAGAATAGAAATTCAGCTGGAGAGTACCGGTAGAATAGATAAAATCTGAACGACCTGTCGCAGAAAGAAAAGATTCCGACGGTGGTTCGTCCACCCGAAGGCACTTCGACGATCAAATCAGTTATCTCTCAAAGATAGCAAAAGTATTTATCACTATTCAGAATACAAAAAACGTACCTTTGACCCATGAGGGTGTCTCTCTTTTATAACCAACACTGACCTAATCCCAATAGAAGCCTAAATCTAATGGATTCTGTCTCAATGCTAATCCTGGACTCCCAGCTAGATTTGGATAAACTCTCTAAAAGTTTTATCTTTATCCAAACTGAAATCCTCTCCCAATCTAGGACTCTTGTCCCTTATCTGCTTATGGCGGATTATAACCTCGGCCTAGCCGAGATTACCTCGGCGTCATGACCAGGACATGTGAAACTTTGAATGACATTTCGGTGCTACCTCGGCCACGTGTTTGTCATTCAAAAATTATGTCCCCACAATATGTTATGACATTATTATTTTAAAATTATGACTCCACCCATTATACAAACTACAAAAATTCAAAACCTCTAAAATTATGTCACATCATCTGTTAATACACTAATTGACATACCAATTGATACATACAGTATTATTCACCCTCTCAACAATCAATGGAACTTCACTTTAGTTTGGCAATTTTAAATCATACATTTATATCTCTCAATTTTAAATCATAATCAAGTTAATCACTTTGACCACAAAAAAAAAGTAAGATGTACAAAAAAAAGTGCATAAAAAGCGACCCTATTTTGGTAGCACTTACAACTATATTAGTTTATTTACTTAAAAAAATTGAGTAGTGGCGTTTGATTAGAAATTCAAATTATTATTTATATAATTTTTTCAACTTATTTGACCAATAATAATTAGGTTTTCTTATTTGCAAAACAACCACCACCCCAATTGAAACATTAAATATGTATAAATAAAAGTATCTTATATCTTATTTAACTTTTGAAGGTATTCGGAATATTTATCTAACAATAAAAACTATATATAACAGTTTATTAAACCAAACAAGTTCAATTACTTTCATAGATAATCAAAAATTGTATCAAACAAATATATGATTTATTTTAATTCTTTTAAGCCAATAATTAAAAAATATATATAATCATAAAAATTAACTTATAAATAATACCAAACAAACCCATTGTCTCTTATCTAGTAAGGCAGCCTTACCATTACCATATGACAATGGACCTGTTTAGTATAGTTTATCCTAAGTTAAAAACTGATAATCAAAAAACAGAAACTAAAAATAACCCTCTCCCAATTCTTAAATAATTAGTTTATTTAAACTATTTCTGAGTAATAAAATATAAATAAAAACTATACAAAATAATAGTCTGGCACAAACATTCAAAATAAGAAAAGCTATAAGCAGATCAAACAAGCTATACTAAATGGGCCAATCAAACACTGCTCGGTTCATTTTGTCAGTATAGGCCTATACAAACATCTGCCAATGCGCAGACAAAAAGAGAGCTCATACAAACAAATAGAATGCACACAACAGACAATGAGAAAAAGCCTTTGGGGGTAGAAAAAAACCAAGAAATGAAAAGAACTCTTTCAGTCGAGATTTATCATAATTGTCGATTTCATGTACACTACAACAGATAGGTTAAAGGGCAATTATGACATTTCCCAACCTGCCCACCAAAAAAAGGGGGCAAATAACACCCAGAAAATTAAATTGAACCGGAGCAAAAAATTATGAAATGGGAAGAAATGAGGCATTAAAAACACAAGGGTGATGGGGCGTTTACGTCCAATATTGTGTCTAATGCTCAACCTAAGAAACCTTCACAGCTGACAGATACAAAAGGGTTTGATAGAAAACTTTCCTCCAATCATTTTGCTAGTGTTGGGAAGATGGTGGCGAGACCGATGAGTTATCTGTGCCGCGAACATTGTACTTATCATAAACCTTTTCATGGTTCTCCGACCACCACGTCTCTGCTTGGTGCTCACCAAACCTTCTCCGGCTGCATATACAATTAGAATATATGATATTTTGCAACCGTATCTATAGTGGATGTTTCACATTAAAACTTGTTCATGTTTACGACAAGGATATTAATATGGAAGAAGTACAACCATCTAATATCATCTGAGAATTTAAATCTTCTACCGCACAATCTCCATGATTTCTATATGATAATATGAATAAAAGAATCAGAAAACAATAAGTTACCTGAAGTGCACTCGTTTGAGATCTCTAGTTCCATTCCCGACAGCCACAAGTGTTATACACACACCAGGCCCCTACTTCTCAATCCATTCAGCCTCAACTTGATTAGCATTTCCAGCCAATGCTGAATTCCTAGATCTTGTACTAGTAGTATCACCATCTTGAATCAGTCCAGACTCCTTGCAGTCAAGAGGCACCGACACACTAGTAGTGTCCAATTTGCGATTGCTGCAGATCGTTAGATCTCTGCTTATCGAATGGCTGGGTCTTTGTCAAATGTAGTGGCCAAGTTGTAAGTAGGAATGACTGTTGGATCTTGGTTAATCAAACGATCATTCTTCTGTCAAAGGTCCTTTCGGCAGTGGCCAACTTGTTTCAGGCCCTAGCTGTTGAATCTATGCTGATCAGATGGTTGTTCTTATGTCAGTGGTCAGTCTGAACTAGATCTGATTTCCTCAGATATGCCTTGGATCTGGTCGGCCTTTATTTACCTTGGGCTATATTGGTCTAGGCTTGCCCGGCTTGTTTGGGCCTATATCCCCTATTGGGCTGGGCTTGGATTTCCAACCCCCCACACGTAAACATTAGTCCAGTTCAATTCACACGAAATGGAAAAGAAATAGAAAAGGATGGAGAAAACGCCCCCAAAACAAGAAACAAAACGTTTTTGCACATCCCTTTTAAAACACTCATAAATGTGAATTTAGACTATTGAAGTCTAATACAGTCAATACACAAGTAATCACAACATTAGTTAAGTTTCAGTTTAAGCCATTCATTTCTTGTTAAGAAAGAGGTATCAATGACTCCTATAAGCAGGTAATCTTTCACCTCAGCAAGTATTAACTGATCACGGCATTGCCAAACACAAAGGAAACAAGCCAAAAATTCATCTTGGGAGGACTAAAACATTCGATGCCATCGAATGCAAAGATTTTAGCCTCAGGAACTTGAAAACATATCATCTAGGCATCCTGTAGAATCAGAATTAACTGAAAGAAGGTCTGCTATGTAATCAGTATATCGTTCCTTACAAGATGTCTACTGTAAGTTAGTATTTTCAAACATACTTGCTACTTGAAAAAAGTATGTCTGCAGAAACCCTACTTAAAGCACTGAACTACTTGAAAAAGTAGATGATATTGCAAAATGAGCTTACTGTTACTTGTTTCATTCAAGTTCCACTTAATCTGGCACGAGTTACTTCGACCTTAGATGCAATGACACATAGATTTTGTTGACAACATATTTGAAGTTTGACATTAATTATCTAACATAATTCTTTAGAAAAATGACACTCATACTGAATTTAAGACAACAATGATGTGGCAATAACACTCTTGCAAGTATGAACCATAGTGATCGGCATTTTGACTTCCTAGTTCCAATGAATAGATATAAACGAGACACATAATTTTGTATATAAATTTTGTTTGTGCATCATTACCCATTTGTAACATAGAGTCCAATCAATTCAATGAACTTTAAAACAATTATTCACTCCTATTATATATATGCACCCTTACTCTCTTAGAATGTTGTTGGGTATCATATACCTCTCAGCCATTTTGTATGGTGCATTTTTCTTGGCAGGTGTCATACTCACATGTGCAACCCAAAGGCTAGTGGTACAATGTATTTGATTGTCTGTGAAAGCCTAACACCAAACCTCAACACCATCACCCAAAAAATTATTTGTGCAAGCATGCACATTTATTTAACCCATTCTGGTTTGGCCTAACCTGTAAAGTGTAAAACTTACCAAGGATTTTTTTTTTGTTCTTTTGTTTTTTGCAAAAATGTCCAAAATAGCTTTACACTTTACTCTAATTTCTCAATTCATTTTCTGTAAACAAGGCGTGTTACACATGCGATATTGTCTTTAACAAATTACATCAATTTTGCACTTAAGTCCAAACCACGAACACCAAAAGGGGATTCTGTGTTTGTGGGCCAAACCACAAGGATCAAGAAGCTACCAACAGATGAATCCAATTGGAATCACAACTGTAAGACCATTCATGCAAGTAGGTCCATAATGCCTCCAGCTATAACAATTAGATTTTACCTCCAAGGTTTGAATTGATTAATTTAGTACAGCAAAACCATCAAGATGGAAATATAGAATCGCCATTTCTAGATTTGTGAGCATAGATAAGTGAAAGAAGAGAATAAATTGTGCAGGTATAGGAATTCCCTAGTTTACTTGATAAACAATTCAACTGAATGTTTTGATGATTACAATTCCTAATATGCTGCTCAACAACACATTTGAACTACATCAAGGTCAACATAAATTCACCACTTATGATGGGTTTACAGGCTATGCATTTCCAAGAAACTCTCATTCAGTAATCTTAAAAGAAAAATCAATTTCCAACTTATTACATTGATATGGCAGTTTCACATTAAATAAACAACCAGTAAGCAAAAGAATCAATGCCTGATATGGTCCAAAATAACCATATATGCTGAAAGTGTTTCCCAAACCACAATTTGCACCTTCACTTGTCATTCCACTTTATTTTATATATTTAAAGACAAATGTATCTTTTCTGTGCGCTAAAATCATGGGATAGAGGGTAAAATTAGCTAAATCAAGAAATGCACCAAACTCAAATTAGCGCCACATTAGTGCGCTGTTATGCCTCTATAGTGACTGTCCAACATGACAATGCTACTAGTAGGATTATAGCATAGGATTGGGATTGTTAGTCCATCGACTCACAATCCCATGTTTGATTGCAAATTTTATTAAGCGGATTAGATGTACGGACGATATTCAATCCTACAAAATTAACAAATTTTTGATATTGAGAGGAGTTGGGATCGTAATTTCAAGTATGAAAGTAAAAATACAAAATGAATACATAATAAATTTGTTATCTCACTCTTTAATTGGATAACTAATTCATGGGATTATTAATCATTTCACTATTAATCCTGTTAATCATCAAACAAGGCCTAAGATTCTAGTGCATTGACAAAAAGGACTTGTCTATTCTCAATGAAACAAACAACAAACTAAAAAAAGATAAGAATGGTAACAAGAAACAACCACCCTTGAATTGCCTCAAATTAAGTGTTTTAAGACAAAAACTTTCTCAAAGCCATAAGACATTATGCGCTTATCGGATTCTCAATTACGAATCCTACTAGGTGGAAGAAAAAAAAATTACAGCAAAAAGACTTGAGTATTGAAAGGAGCAAATGATATCAAAACAACAAATAGTATACCCATTGAATCAAGTTGAAACCAGAGACAACTGACCAAACTCCTTGTATTTGAGATACTGATCCAATATCGTAAGCCTCGCTGTAAAAATCCAGAACACCCTTGTTCTTGAAGGTCTTGACTATGGCATCGAAAGAACCGTCGTAAATCTCAGAAGCCCCTTTGGTTTGGAGGTACGTGAATGCGCCGGCGATCCCTCCGGCCGCGGCAGCGTCTTGAACAGAGCATGGACTTTGGGGGAGCCTCTGACAGCGGGTTTGAGCCAATTCTGAGAAGTGGGTTTTTGTGGGTTTTGGATTTGGGTCTCGAGAGAGACGGTGGTGCAGTAGAATGGGAGATTGGTGGATGGATAGAGATGGCAATTTCAACCCGGCCCGACGGGGACCCGACCCCCCGACCCCGATTAGAATAGTTTTTTCCCGAAAAATAACTATGGCATCGAAAGAACCGTCGTAAATCTCAGAAGCCCCTTTGGTTTGGAGGTACGTGAATGCGCCGGCGATCCCTCCGGCCGCGGCAGCGTCTTGAACAGAGCATGGACTTTGGGGGAGCCTCTGACAGCGGGTTTGAGCCAATTCTGAGAAGTGGGTTTTTGTGGGTTTTGGATTTGGGTCTCGAGAGAGACGGTGGTGCAGTAGAATGGGAGATTGGTGGATGGATAGTTGTGGGTTGCGTTGATTTGCTCTGTTCGTTGGTTTGCTTGTTTTTTTGGGTGAAAGGATTGGCTAGGACTTGTTGGCCGTCCAGCCCGAGGCCTGACTTAGGCCTGAGGTCCGGCCCAGCCCAACTCTCCGGCATTAGTTTTGAGCCATGCTTTTTCTGACTCTAGTTGATCTGACCCAATAATACTTGCAAATTTTTTTGGTAGTAAAAAAAGAGTTTGGCCTGATCCGAAGCCCGATTGTCCCTGAGCTTGGATTTGGACTTAAATTTTTGAGAAGTAGGTTGGCCCGATTATTGGCAAGAGCTTGAGTGGGTCTGACCCAATAATACTTGCAAATTTTTTTGGTAGTAAAAAAAGAGTTTGGCCTGATCCGAAGCCCGATTGTCCCTGAGCTTGGATTTGGACTTAAATTTTTGAGAAGTAGGTTGGCCCGATTATTGGCAAGAGCTTGAGTGGGTCAGGCTGGGCTCAAAGTCATACAAGTCGGACCATTTTTACACTCATACTCATTGGGTGTAAATAATCATTTGATTCAAATTAAAAAACCCCTTTCTTTATGTTTTTTTTTTTAAATTTTTATTTATTTATTTATTTATTTTTATTTAATACTTCAATTCTATTTTGGGGTTTTTAGTTTAAGATTCTTAATAATATTTTCTTAGAAGTATAAGCACAATACAATTTTTTATATTAATTTAGGTCCTCCAAAACACACAAAATTCTATAACTTTTTTAACTCATTTGAAAATTCTAACTTTTGATCTAGATCTCTCTCTCTTTTTTTTTTCTTTTTCTTTTTTTAATATAAAATTTGTATTTTTAGAATCGTTTCATCAAGATTTGTTAAGATCCATGAAAAATACAAAATTCTAAAAAAAAAAAGTTGTTGAAATTTTACTAACCTAAGACAGAGTCAGTGTAATTTCGATAACCAAGTCTAAGTCAGTGAAATTTCAATGACCAAGTTAGTGAGTTAGTGAAATTTCATGAATTTTTTTTCTTTAGAATTTCATATTACTAATGTATCTTGTTTAAAAACATCTTGTCAATAGAATTCTAAATATATAAATTTTTACAAAAAAATAGAAAATGTAAATCCAAAGTTATTAAATTTTAAAGAGTAAATTATACTTACCTCCCCTGAAGTTTCTAACAATTATAGAGACCTCTCCTATGGTTTCAATAATTATACTAACCTCTTTTACTTTTGAAACTATTATCAAGATTCTTCCACTGTTACCCTTTGTTAGGTTATTTAACAGAATTTGTTAATGTGATGTTAATGGCATGTTGATGTCATAGGTTATAATATCAAAAATGACAAAATTGCCCATTAATACCTTATCTATTCAAATGAAAATTTTTACTCACCTCTCGTGAAATTTTGCATATATATATATATATATATATTATCAAAGGCCCATACATATTTTAACATTATTTAATAAAATTCGTAAATTTTATGCAATATTAAATAAAATCCTTAAATTATTAAGATAATATTAAATCATTAATGCGGAAAAAAAAAAACTTAATTTTCATTGATAAAATACTTAAAAATAAATAATATCTTTTTATAGATAACATTCTAATAATTTAATACATGACTTGTTGTGATGTCCCGAGCCTTTTTAAAAGCAATTTGAGTATAGTAATTCGAAATTTCTTTTCTTTTGGGGTCCTTGTTGCTATTGACTCTACAAGTCACGTGTTGTCATCTATTTTTCTCCTTGTGATTTTTCATTTCCGTCCTAATGTATATTTCGAAGGTGTCAACTTGCGTCTTTGGGTGTTAAAGTGAGTCTGGGAATGGTGGGAAAGCTCTAATGTTAATTTTGTCTCACTTGAAAGTTAAGACCGCTCCAGCGGTCCTTTTGTCGCTCGAGTGGTAAATCTGTCCACCCAGTTCTTGGTTCTGAAGTCTAAAATACTGGGAGTGTGCTTTTACCGCTCAAGTGAAGGCTATATCGCTTGAGTAGTCTATTTGCAAAGGAGAGAGATTCTGAGAGTTTGAATTCACCACTTAAGCTTAGGATCCACCACTTGAGTGATCTGTCTGGAGTCAATTCCAAGAAATGTGTCCAATAACTTAAAAGTTGAGCCAAAACCCTATCTTCATCTCTACATCTTACTTTCTCTCTTTTCTCTCATCTCTCTATAGAAACCATCCACCAACCCTCACAAATTTCTTGATATTTTCAAATCCATTAGAGATTTGGCTAGTTCCTTTATTAAAGTTGAAGAGCTTACTGAGGGCTATGACGTGTGCAGTGGAGATCAAATTTCGTTGATGTTGGTTTTGAAGGTTTTCTTATCCTTCTCTCCAAAAACTTGAGGTAAAAATTTTCTTTGAATTATATATACATTTTTATAAGTTTATGGTTATTTTGATGTTGTTTGGAGTGTATTGAGTTATGGTCTGAATTTTTTTTTATGAGATTGTATTTTGTTCAAAAAGGATTTTCTCAAATCTTTCACCAAATCTTTTAATTTATGAACTATGAGAATGTTTTGAGAGTTTCATGAGCAAATATTTTTTCAAAAAATGAGGAAACACTAGTTTTGTGAAAACATAGATTTTGGAAATTTGGGGTAAAGTTGGGATTTTGTGAAATCGTGAATTGTTGTGACTTAGTTTTGAGAAATGATGAGGAAATTGATATATTCATGCTTATTGTTGAAATTCCACGCAAGAGAGAAATTGTTATTGAGAAAATAGTTAATAGTATATTGCTACACTTATCTTGAAAAGATGAAGATTGGAAATAATGATTATTATGTTGGGATTTCTTTGATTTAAAGAGAAAATAAATGTATTTGATGATGTGTTTTTATCTGCCTCTTGGAATATATATTGTGTATTTATATTGAGTAGATATGTAGAACTTGATCATAATAGAAGATTGTGCGGATGAAATGAGAAAGTATTGAGGAATTTTGAGAAAGTCCAAGGTATTAATATAAATATATATTGCATTGGCATTTTATTTTATGTCCATTGTTTTCTTATGAACTGGCATTGTTGAGATCACTTTGGAAACGTAAATGGTTTTATGAAACAAATGTTACAATTGAACAGTTTGGGGTAAATACAGTGGGAAATCCGGTTAGGAGGTGTAGATTGAGAATTAAATTAGCCTGAGTGTCTTTGGTGTAAGACTAGAAACACGCGCGTATGGGTGCCTAAGCTCTCCAGTTAGAAGCCGGTAAGGTAGAATTTGGTAGTGCTTGTTATGCCTACTTGCAGACATTAGCCTTGGAGATTTTCCTGAGTCGTATTTACTACCGCTTGTTGATATATGAAAATCATTTGATGGATTACATTTTCGAACGTGCATCGTGCATGAGGTTTTCAAAAGAGAAAAAAAAAACTATTTTGAGCATGGCATATGCATCCATCTGATGCGATTGTATAAAATATATATACTTTGTTAAGAATTCTCTATTGGGCTCATGGCTCACCCCAGTGGATTTTGTGTAGAAAAAGATGTGGTGATTCCGCCGAAGTAGAGTAGGTGAATGTTTTAAGAGTACAAGATTTTTTTTTTTTTTTTTTGGATAACCCAAGGGCTTTATGTGTATGGGTTTGATGACCATTTAATTGTAACTAGGCTTAAGCCTTGGAGCTTGTAATCCAAAGGGCCTTATTTTGTGTTTGTTTCTATTACATTACTTGTTTGACATGCTATAGATTCATACCGTATAGGAGATCGAGTGTACTCCCATGTAATGCCCCCAAATTAATTGTCATTTAACAATCTCCGGATTTAGTTCCATAAAAGAAATAAATAATAAAACTCTAGACTTCGATAAGCAATTTAAATCTCTATGGTTGTATTTTCATCAATATGCGAGAGATTTACAAAAAGCCACATGCGTTACATAGCATTACATATTCAAATCCTCTCTAGGTTTGAATCCATAGCATGTGGGACAAATAGAGTTATAGAGATTTAACACAAAAGAAATGCCCCATGGGCTACAAGTTCTAAGGCTTAAGCCCAGTTACACAAAAGATGGTTATCAAACTCATACATGTAAAACCTTGGCTTGTTAAAAATAAACGACAAAAAGAAAGAGCCTCGTGCTCTTAAAACAATTCCAACGCCTTTAGCTGGACGGGATCACCATATATTTTCCTGCACAAATCCACTAAGGGTGAGCACAAAACTTAGTAGGAAGTTCTTAACAAAGTATATATGTTTAAACAGTCTTATAACATGAATGCCATGAAATGCCATGCTTCAAAATCCATATCTTTGTTCCTTTTTGAAAACCGCTTGCAATGCTCATTTCAAAATTCGTTAATGCACAACGCGGTGGTAAATACGACTCAGGTAATCCTTAAGCTAGTGTCTGCAAGTTGGCATATTAAGCACTATCAATCTCCACTTTACCGACTCTTAACCGAAAGACACAGGGTACTTTCTCCGCAATGTGTTTTCGCTCTTTTATCCTGGACACTCAAACCAATTTAAACAATACCAAACTACACCCCCTATCCGAACTTACCAGAACGTATTTACTGCAAAACATCTTTAAGATCATCAATTGTTTTCTCAAAGCAATAAATCAATTTCCAAAACATAGTCATAATAATCAATATTCAAAAATATGTAAATGAATGTATGTAAATGCAATTATACAATTCCCAAGTTTCTCAACATTATTTCCTCAATATAA